GGAAGCTCTCGGTAAAAAAGTGATTCCTTGAGGCGTTGGAGGCGAGATATGGCGACGCTCACCTGGAACACGTCTTTCGCGCGCAGCTTAAATATCGCGTGCAACGCAGCAACGAAAACCTGCAGCAGTGGGCCCTTGAGGTGGAGAAGATGGTTCGAAAAGCATATCGGTCTGTACCTGCGCTCATTGAAGGGAACCTGGTGCAGACATTCATCGACGGCATCCGCGACCTTGAAGTCAGAGCTGCTGTGAGGCTCCGACACCCCGAGACGCTTAAGGACGCCTTGGCCCATGCACTGGAGGTGGAAGCCAAGCAGCAGGACCATCGTTCCCCTCACGTTAGGGAGGTTGTAGCAGTTATGGTTCGCGACCATAATAAAAATTACAGCCCAAGGTGCTACGGCTGTGGGGAAAGGGGCCATCTTCGATCCAGCTGAACTAAGCGAACTGTAGAAAGGGAATATGATCGATCTGGAGAGGGTAGTGCAGCTAATGGAACCACCTAGCGGCGGCAGGATCTTCGTTTCCGTCGCGTCAGGAAGGTTGCAGCAGCTACAGTTCGCGACCGCAGTAATGGACACAACCCTAGGTGCTATGGCTGTGGGGAAAGGGGCCATCTTCGATCCAGCTGCCCTAAGCGAACTGTAGAAAGGGAAGTTGATCGATCTGGAGAGGGTATGTGCAGCTAATGGAACCACCTAGCGGCGGCAGGATCTTCGTTCCCGTCGCGTCAGGAAGGTTGCAGCAGCTACAGTTCGCGACCGCAGTAATAGACACAGCCCTAGGTGCTATGGCTGTGGGGAAAGGGGCCATCTTCGATCCAGCTGCCCTAAGCGAACTGTAGAAAGGGAAGTTGATCGATCTGGAGAGGGTATGTGCAGCTAATGGAACCACCTAGCGGCGGCAGGATCTTCGTTCCCGTCGCGTCAGGAAGGTTGCAGCAGCTACAGTTCGCGACCGTAGTAATGGACACAGCCCTAGGTGCTATGGCTGTGGGGAAAGGGGCCATCTTCGATCCAGCTGCCCTAAGCGAACTGTAGAAAGGGAAGTTGATCGATCTCGAGAGGGTTGTGCGGCTAATGGCACCGCCTGGTGGCGGCAGGATCATTATTCCCGTCGCGTCAGGGAGGTTGTAGCAGTTATGGTTCGCGACTACAATAAAAATTACAGCCCAAGGTGCTACGGCTGTGGGGGAAAGGGGCCATCTTAGATCCAGCTGCCCGAAGCGAACTTTAGAAAGCGAAGTTGATCGATCTCGAGAGGGTTGTGCGGCTAACAGCACCACCCAGCAGCAGGAATACGACTTTGTGATTGATCACCGCAGCGGGAAATCGCATGGCAACGCAGATGCATTGTCAAGGAGACCTTGTCCTGAAGATTGCAAGCATTGTACTAGGCAGGAGAGTAAGGAAGTGGTATCCGTGAGGATGCACGGAGATGCAAGGAGACATCAAGCCGATTCTGGAATGGATGAAGGCCCGTGCTACCAAGCCCAAGTGGAGCGACGTCTCAGCGATGAGTTCGACCACTAAAAGCTATTGGGCCCAATGGGACAGCTTGCTGATTCAGAATGGAGTCCTGTGCCGTAAATGGGACAATGGTCGAGGAGACAGCTGTCGTTTGCAAATGGTTGTCCCTAAAGCTAAAGTGCCGAATGTTCTACAGCTGTACCATAATGGTTGTTCAGGAGTCCATCTGGGAGTTAAACGAACTCTACTGAAGATCCGAGAACAGTTTTACTGGGTCCATTATCGTGACGATGTCGAGGATTGGTGTCGCACATGTACAAGTTGTGCGGCTGTGAAGGGACCTCAGACACGTAGTAGAGGAGCATCGAAATTGTACAATGTTGGTGCACCATGGGATAGGACAGCTCTTGGCATTGCGGAGCCGTTTCAGAAAGGCGCAAGAGGGACTCCTAAGATCGTCCATGTGGATCGCATGGCGCGTTATTATGCGGCCGATAATGCTCGGGACGCGCATGTCTTAGGAGGGGGTAGTGTTGCGCGCCTAAGTTGACGTCAGGTACCTGACACTAGCGCAATCTAGTGTCGGGGACCAGAGCGAGGAGGGCTTCCTAGAAAACGTCAAAGCCGCTACATGCCACGATCGGCGCAGTATTGAATTTGGCGAGACAAGCGAAGCTTCGGAACAAAATAAAGTGAATCAGTGTGATTAATTGTTAGTGTTTTAAGTTTTAATTGGTGTTCGGTAATAAAAGTGTAAATTTTGGTAATTCAATCGGCAGTTTTATTGTCACGAACCTCAAGCTCGTAACAATATAGTACTGTTTACACTTAACGTATGAGTTAAAAGGTCATATAGTTATTTTTATGTTGACATTTCTAGTTGAGTCTTTTTTGTTTTTATATTTAATTACCTAGCACGTTTGGAATTTGTCTTACACATAATATTGTTGAAATAACGATACACATCTTCATAACAATGCTCATTTACTCCACAAAATGAAAAAAAAAGAAACATCGTATTATGGCCTACATAACTGAATACAAAGAATCAATCGTTTTGTTAAGTTTTAAACAAAATACTTACTTGTTTACATTTTTATTCTCTTACAGAAATACATTTGTTTTTGTGACTTAGGAGTGACTAAAATCAAACAGTTTTTTTAAATATTGGTCACATACAAAATGTTTAGTAGTTTCATTAAAGGTTTATCAGCCCTGTAATGACAGTTTAGCACAGCACAGCTGTGGCTCGATACATTTTTGAAAAAATCTTAGAGTTTATAATTACAATCAAGGAAAAAATGTATCGATATGGAATGACGGAGAATGAACCTTGAATTAATGTAATAAATGACATCTTATAATAACATAATACAAAAAGCTTTAACACAATAGTCTAATATCAATGAGGTAATAAGAAAAAATTAAGTCACTCTCACACTTAGATCATGTAGCTACTATAAATCTAAGCTCTCACATTATAAGAGAAATCTCAATTGTGTCGAAACATGAGCTTGAAGTTAAATAAAAATATGACAATATCATAGTAGTATGTTTTCAAACTTTACGTTAATTATTATTTCTGTAAAATATACAGGGTTATTTTTCAAAGAGTATCCAAATTTCATATTAAGTTCAAATGCCAAACAAAGCCGGTACCAGCTAGTTATGCATTAGATAATTTTTCAGTATAATAATATCGTAATACTGTGTAACATACTGTATGACATTTGATCTTAGAACTTAGGGGTGACAACGCGTCTGTGGCCTTATTGGCTGCAATATCCATTTCTAATTGTGACTGTTTGTCACACTAATAGTAATAAAAAAGACTGCCTCGTTGGTTAAGTGGTTGTAGTAATGTGACTGCTGATATTGAGGTCCTGGGTTCGAATCCCGGGTCGGGTCAAAAATCAATTACTGAGTTTTTCCGTTAAGAAATTCTCAGTAGTTGCCTGGAGTCAGGGCTGGCGGTGTCTCACCCCCGTGCCTTGGAAAGCACGTAAAGTCGTTGGTCCTGCGCCTGATCTCTCTCGGTCGTGTCGGTTTACCGTCCCATCGGAATATGAGAGTGAGGGAATAGAGAGCGCAGCTATGCTTGCGCATACACTTGGGCACTATGATCCTGTCCTGCGCTGATGGATAATCTCCGTTGAGGCAGGCCGTCGTGATCGAAATTCGGTCTGGAGGACATTATTATAAAAAAAATACTACTTCAATATGTGTCATATTTTTACATTGTTGCAGTAATTTTACTCTGGTATTATAATAAAAAAAAACTAAACTTAAAAAATCTTGAAGAAATGGGTATCAAATTATACAAAGCATAGTCGTTGTTATTTATAATCTATCTTATATACAATTCGAAATAAGAATAAATAGATACATATTAAATATTTAAATGGAAATCCGCAACGGTAGTTCCTAGTTATAACCTAATTGGCACACTTTCACATTCACTAGCAAAATTATACCTATCATTATTAATTACAAACTAAAGAGGCTCAAAATTTTATTATACTTAAGTACATTTCTACATTCGCGGACTAAAAGTGAAAAAGTTATTTACTTTATTATAGCTTTAATATTTACAATCGAATTCTGATATGTGTCTTTATTGCGGTATCTACTATAGTCACTGAGTCATGTTTTAATAAAAAAATACATTATACTTCGGGTTCCTGACGCAACTCTAACGTAATACGTAATGTAAGTAAATGCTCAAATAATATTACTGTTGTTCATAAGTCTATATATACAATATTCTCACAATCTTGAGTATTATAATTGCACTTTATTTGTATGCGGTTTATCGTCACCATAAAAATAAATACGCAATCTCCATACATTACATACATTCCAGTTAATGGCAGCTTTTTCTTACGTATCATACAAATCATGGAGTATAGAGGTAAGGAGGACAATCTCCCATAGGAGAATAGATGAAAATGTCCATCTGTAAGCAGTAAATAACAGTTCAAAAATTTTCCGCAACAGCGCTCGAGTAGCTACAGGGTATGAAAAATCGCCGATTTTGATTTTGAAAACGAAAATTACGATTTACGATTTTGGAAATAAAAATTTTGAAAACAGTAAAATAATTATTATAAATATAAATATGGTGAAAGTTTGTACAATAAAAAAATTATAAAAAGTTCTTTAAAATTTACACTGTAGCTACAGTGGCGCCACCATTATTTAGCGCTTTCCTACGCACACTTTTTTATACAGAGTCGGTACCCCTTACCTATACACTCCATAATACAAATTAGGGATGAACATATCTACGTCACAGACAAAGATTTTATTGGGAAATATTGGAGACATTTAATATTTAACTATCAAATTAACGTAGGTACACTGTATTTTATGTAGTTTCAATATATTTCTCGTTATTAATATCAACAAAAGTAATTCATACGCTGCCTTTATTACTGGCAACAATTTCGAACGGAAGTTGTCACTTGTATGTGATTCGGAGGCGCGAACGATTTTTCTGTACATACCATCGACGCCGTATTTGTTCTTATGTTACTTTTTAATGTCAGGGTCCATTTTCGTTTTGTCCATCGATGAGGATACCATACCGGTTTGCGGATATAATTTATCTAAATGCTTGAGAGATTCATTAAGGAAGTTCTGTAACAAAGAAAAATAATAAAGTTAAAGCGAAATTGATTCAGCCTCGTCCACGTCTAATGCCTCTTTTTAGTTGAGATAACTAGATGAATTATCGTATTTTCTATATTAAATGGTAATCGACGTCAAACGCCTCGTGCAAATAACAACGAGATAGATTCGTCATCCATAGAAACTTAATACTATCTGTCAACAGCTGAAGGAAAATGAAATATATAAGGGAAAATTCCTTATCAACAAAAAATTACTTCTTGCCAAATGCAGTCTGAAATCAAGTTTTAAAAAAATATTAAAATAATAAGGTACGTGAGGTTAATATTGTCTCCCTAAGTTTGCCGCCATATAAAACCAAAACTAGATGAAGTACAGAGACAAAAATGCTGAGTCGTATATTATAACTTATATAATAAGAAAAAATTGTAAAAAAGCTTTGACAATAATTAGGAACACTTCGAAAAATCTACTTAAAAAAACTGACTACTCTACCTCATACTAAAATCTACTAAAATATTTACGATAATGTCAACTGTCAAAATGGCGTCGATAAAGCATCGCCCTTCTGACCCTTTATTATCTGAATGACCTATGAAGAGCTATCGTATCATAAAGCCATCTATGCAAGGCTGTCGTTTTTTAGTTATAAAAAAGTGACCATATTAATCAGATGACCATATATTATGTACGTACTTATATTTTCCGATATCCACTTATCTTAATTACGAACGTATTTTTAATCTACAAAACTACAGATAAATATAAAAGTCGCTTCTTATCACATATTAGTAATTGCATATTAGTAATTGACCGCACATAGCTGGCTGTGCCTTGCCTTGAGCTTGAACGCTGTTTAATTTCACCAGTGTGGATGTTTCATTGATTGTTCTCAATTAGTTAGATAATTACCCTACCCTCTCATCAATCGGTCTAAGTTTTACAGCAGGTAATTTTTCTTAGCTGATCCCCATGGTGGGAAATTGGGTTATACATTCCTACATGTTAATAGCATTTAATAACTTTATGCTGCTGTGTTTTGTATGGTGAAGGAAGAGATCCGAAGACCCTTTTTCAATGGAAATGATGTATTTAATTTTGGTCCTCAGGGGTGAATTCTAATTCTTAATAGATGATATAATATGTAGATGTCTATGGATCACAGCATCCACTCACCATCAGATGGATTGTGTGCTCATATGTTACCCTTATTTTATAAAAAACCTGTAGAATGTGCACAATACTGATTGACGGATGAGACTTTGACCTTGCTGATGGCAGGAAACACATCTAGAGTTTGAAATATTAAAATAATTAGTATATAGATTCACAGATGCTTGTGAGAAAACATATTCCGCCGCGGTGTATTGTCACCACGGACGAGGACGAAAAGAGGCTGGTTATACTACTCGCCGCTAAAGCAAGAATAGCGCCTTTAAAACCGATTTCTTCCGATTTCCGAGGCTTGAATTACAAGCATCTTTATTGGGTACGCGGTTATCTACGGCTCTTGTGAAGAATAGTGGATTAAAAATATCAAACCGATTTTGCTGGACAGATTCACATAGAGTGTATTTAAGTATATAACAGTGTAAGTTGCTACCTGAATGGCGGTGAGCGCGGCCACGATAGCTGGTCCACCAAAGCCGTGGGAGATGAGCGAAAAGTGCGTAAGATGGCGCTGTATGGCTGGCTCTAGTAAATGTGGCGGCCGCGTGTTGCACAGCGGCGATCTGTCTTGATTAAGAAGGTCCATAAGCTCCTTTGTCACCTGGCGATATGTTAACGATGTACTTAAGTTGATACATTAATTATTGTGTATTAGAGTACTATATACAGTAATAAGTAGGCTTTGTATTGTACCTATTCATTCTTTTTACTAGTATAGAGAGATACCATCCAAGTCTGTAGCGGTGATAACGCGATTGCATTTCGATTTAATAGAGGATAGATGGTGTATTCTTACACTGTGTAGCGGTGTAAGAATATCCTCTGCCCTGCATCGTCCTGTGGGTGTCGTAAAAGATGATAGAGGGAGAACAAAGCAGGAGACGGTCAGCAGCATCTTTTAATAAAGGCCTGTATTCACTTTGACTAGTGCGAGTGCAGGTGATTAGTAATTGCGGATGATTAGTGCAGGTGTGTAGTGTAAGTAGTGTCCGTTTTTTTTAGTGGCTGTGTTTAGTAAATTCAGTTGTGTGCCGTTGACCAGCAAGTACTGTGTTTAATTTCTTAATACACATGTAGATCTTACTTTAGTATAAACTTCTTTACTTCCAAACCCCGGCATATTCAAAGCTAAACTTATACGTAGAAATGCCACATCTGGGGCTCCTTTAATTTTGCAGTTAGGGTATTTACTATTGTAAAAAACATTCATTTTTAGATACTCCCGCACAAATTTATAGGTTATGTCTACGGTCCACTTTGCCGTTTTTTCTAACACAAGCGAGCGTTCGACGCTAAACGCTAAACACTAAACACTGCTGTCCAGACGTGTTTAGTGGCAGACATGCTGCGAGTGAGTGGGAAGGTAGGACGCACGGGACGGGGACACTCGTAGTCCACTCGTAAAAAAATAGAACACGCTTCTAATCACTTGCACTAATCAAGTGTAAAAAGGTTCTAATCACCTGCACTAATCACTAATCAAAGTAAATACAGGCCTTAACATCTGAAAAAAAAAACTGTGGTTACAAAACCAACTACCAAGCGTGGCAACTGTAGAAAATATGGCTCCCCTTGTGGGGAATTTCAAAAGGAGGCATATGTCTTCAGCAGTGGACTTCTATAGGCTTGGAGGGGTGACGGATTATAGGTTTTTATGGATCACGGCATCCACGTACCATTATGTCTGTGCTTGTTGATCACCCTAATTTGTTTAAAAAATATTCAATTACCTACAGTAAAAGTAGTATAAGATATATGTTTACTAAAACTTATATGGTTATGTACATACATGTTAAACTTTAAATCTCTAAATGCTAAGCTAACTATAGGGCTAAGTACCTCACTTGGCAAAATTTGTTTGTATTTGAAATTTGTGACCGGAACACGAAGCTAGTAACACCAATCGCTAAGACCTCACCTTCATATTTATTAAGTTAAATAAAAACACATAATGCGAGTACAACCATTAAAAGGATAAAGTATATAAATATATCTTACTGTTAATAATTACACGTTTGGTTGCCAGTATAGTTATTCATCAATCAGTATTTATGAAATATATTTTTCATAACTGGCAGTAAAATAGTTACCTGTTTGGTAGCTTGCAATAGATCTCGTCGACGTCTTGCGTCGTGCTCTGCATATTGTCTCGCGAGGTATTCAGCCAGTGCTCGTGCTGGGAACTCAGTCTCACAGACGTAACCGAAATCCCTCGCTAAATGCACTGCCTCCGCTGAAAATGAAAAGTAAGTACATTAGAGTTAACCTCTGATATGGCGGCGGCCATTTTGACAGTTTTGACAGACCTAGCGGTTCCTTCATGAAGGTACGCGTGATATGCTCTCCACATAAAGCTTATAACAATGTAATCGTTTTGAATTAACCTACTTATCAGATTAAAATTAAAGTAGACCCGGAGTAACTGAACTTCAGATTTTAATTTAAAATATTTCAAGGCCAAATTTTTTAATAGCATTGGAGTACTTTTTACTGCACCCAAATCCATTCAAATTTAAGAGAAGGACTTTGTTTTGTATGAAGACGTATGTTGGCTATCACCCTACAAACCATTATTATAAAGTATTTATTGTTCCACAGCAGGGAATATGTCATTTTTTATTTAAGGTATGGTTTGTTGCTGGTGGGTAAGAGACTTTTTGTAAACAAATTAACAGTTCTTCAGAAATTAGGGCATTGTTTCTATATTTACAAAACGTTTCGCTTTCCCCCACGACCAGTCATATAGTGCGGAATCCAGCGTAGCGTATGAATAAATACATATTTTGATGACGGTCTAAGGGAAATTTAGGCCGTATTAATATTTACGCTGGTATTCTGTGAGAGCGTGGTCCTTCCCCGGTCGAGCCGATCCATTCATGCCACAACCATAATATAGCTGAAGCGTATCTCCGCCACATTTAAAATAACGTAACATCATCAATGTAGTCAAAGTCAATTAAATACGCACTATTAAAGATAACTCAAAAACTACTGGTCAGATCTTGATAAAATTTATATGGGACCACACGAGAAGCATTAGCTTTCAAAAAAAGAAACATCAAAATCGGTTCACAAAGAAAAAGTTCGAGGTTTACACACATTAAAAAAACATACAGTCGAATAGAGTCCTTTTTTGAAGTCGGTTAAAAAAGAAATTGACTTGAGAATGTGGATTATTCACACTGCAGTATCATAGCTTTAACACGAATATGGCATAGCCATAGACAAAGTTCTTACAGTTTACCAGCGTGGAATGGCAGCATAATCAAAAACAAACATACATAATAACATAAACACTCACACCTGTCACCCAGAGGGCTAGGCAGAGACTACGGACTTCCATTTGGCACGATCCTGACATACCTCTTTCGCCTCCTTTACATCCATATATCTACGAATACATACTCGTCGGTTAAGGGTACTTCTAACGTGGCCCATTTTCAAAATATCGCCAATTTGTTCGATAAACTTTTTTCTAGGGCGTCCCTTCCGACTCGGCCGTTAACATCTGCCATATAAATTTGCTTTGTCACTCTTTCCTCATTCATTCTTTCTACATGACCAAACCACCGAAACATTCCTTTCTTAATCTTGGTCACAACATCATCTTGCATGTACCACATTTATCTCTTATCACGCAATTTCTAGCCTATAATTACCACGCCTATAGGGTGAAAAACAATACTACACATTGATTAAAACAACTTTTACGGATTTTATCGCGATTAATTTTAATTTTAATTATTTTTATTTTTTATTACCGACGTTTCAGGCGCTTTCCAGCACCCATGGTCACGGGGAACTCTCTAGTATATAGTCAGTAATCTATGCAGGGGATTGAGGTGAGTGACGTTGTTAAACCCGGAGTACCTTCGGCTTTTTTAATTATTGTTTATGATCCGATCTATGCAAAATGAACTGATTATGTCCTGAGGTATTGCAGTGGTATGCTTGGGTCTATCGAAACGTCGGGAATTAAAAATAAAAATAATTAAAAGTAAAATTAAACACGATAAAATCCGTAAAAGTAGTTTTAATAAAAAACAAGTGGTGAAATTAAAAACTTTGTACAACCGACTTCAATATAATTCAAATGAGTACATTGTATTCGAATTCGATTCGATTCGAAGTAAAAGGTAACTCAAAAATTTCTGTTGCGTCAGATCTTCATCAAATTTATATGGGACACAGGAGAAGCACCAGTTTTTAGATAAAAAAGGATCATCAATATCGGTTCACGCAGAGAAAAGTTCTGAGACACATAAAAAAACATACAGTCGAATTGAATACCTTCTCTTTTTTTAAGTCGGTAAAAATACTACAAATTACCTTCAACAAGCGAAGTGAGTAATGTGACGTTGGCAGCTTTCCGCCTCCCCGCTGGCAAGTTCAGCCCAATCTTCTCTAACTTCTCACGTAATAACCTGCCGCCGTTTTTGCTTTTCGCCCTGAAAAGTCAAGAAATTTCTTCATTATTTTTTTTTAAAAATATAGAAGTAAAATTGATGATAGTCAAAATCCTGATGACTACCATCAATGAATTAGTCTTTCCAATTACGGTAATGCAGTCTTGAGCGTTGAAACGCACTAGCTAAGCTAATAAAAATCTACTTTTTTATTAGAATAAGGGTGACAAGTGGTAAGTGGATGCTGTGGCCCATAGACATCAACATTTAATCTCGATTAAAAATCAAAATGCAGATGTGTTGTAATCCCATTGGACTAAGATGGAATGTCTCGATCCCAGTAAAAAGTGTCTCCGGTTCTCTACACTCAACATACGAAACACAGCAGCATTAAGCTGCTATTTTATGCTGGTAGTGGTATTCTGTGAGAGCGTGGTCCTTCGAGTCACGGTCGAGCCGACCCATTCGTGCTACAACCATAATGTAGCTGCAGTGTGACTCTACCATGACTTACCTTTGCCTAGTATTCGCCGTGTAGGGCCGACGTAGGAGAATCCACTACGCCTTATCATCCCGTGGGTGTCGTAAGCAGTGTTGCCAACATTAAAATCTAGCTCTCGTTGTATATACCGTTAAACACGGTAGACAAGTGTCAATCATTCATTGTATTGCACATTTTTTCGTACTTTTAAACTAAAAAATGAATAAAATTATAATTTAATTTTTGCCTTTTCCAAATTATTTTTATTTCAAAAACAAATCTAAAAAAAAACATAAATTGTTGTTGTCCCGTTAAAAAATCGTCGTTTGCCGTTAAACACAATTTTTTCCCGTTGCCAACCTCGCTGTCCCGTCAAATCTAACGGGAAAGTCAAGTTGGCAACACTGGTTGTAAGAGTCCTGATACCAACTCAAAATAATAAAAATTGCGGTTGCTAACACACCTGCCGAGCGTGGCAACTACGTAAATACCTTCTCTATGAGGCAATCTATTGAGGAGGCCTATGTTCAGCAGTGGACTTTTGATAGGTTGTTCATCATTCATCATCATCATTACAGCCTTTCACAAGTCCACTGCTGAACATAGCCCCCCCCCCCGCCAAGGAATGCTGCAAGCCACGATCCTGAGCCACCTGCATCCATCGACTTCCTGCATGTCTTACCAGGTCGTCACTTTATCTACACTTCACCTACCGGTACGACCCTTTTTTCCCCATCGGTTGTCGGCTCTTCGGGCTATATGGTCGGTCCATTGCCACTTCAGCTTACTAATCCGATGGGCTATGTCGGTCACTGTGGTTCTACTGCGGATATTCTCCTTTTCAAGTTTAGCACTGGTTGTACAATCTCGTTATATATATATATATATATATATATATATATATATATATATATATATATATATATATATATATAGCAATATAAAAAACGGGGAAGTCAATTAATTGTTGTTTACCTCTAAATAAAGCTGTTAAACCAATTTCTTAAACAAAAGCTTATTCGTAGCATCCTTGACATCAGCGTTTATGTGTTCCAGAGCAGTATAGCCTAAACTGTGAAGGAAGAATTTTAAAAAATTGTTCTATATTCTGGTATCTGGTATGGTACTAACCTTCAGTGCGTTAGAAGGACGAGGCTCACGGCTGAAAATATGGAATTTGAATAGGTATTGAGCAATCTTCCGTACAAATGGAAAGCTGACAACCCCCCCCCCCCCCCCCAGTCCAGCAGTGGACTACAAGGAGCTGGTGAGGAAGATGAAGAATAAGTATTTAAAAAAGACTCATCTCCGTAATATTGCTTTAATAATACACAGTAACATCTTGTTATTATAATCTGTATTATTTATAATAATAATACCTACACACATTTTATAAAAGTACGTAATATACGTGGTAGAGCCATGCTACAGCTATATTAGTATTCAGTAGTATAGTTGTAGTACGAATGGATCGGCTCGACCGGGTAAGGACCACGATCTCACAGAATACCAGCTTAAAATAGCAGCTTAACGCTACTGTGTTTTGTATGGTGAGTGTAGAGAACCGGAGACCCTTTTTACTGAAAACGAGGCATTCCATCTTAGTCCTCACGGGTGACAACGCATCTGCATATTGACTCGTAATCGAAGATAGATGTAGATGTCTATTATAAATAAATAAATATAGATGTTGATGGGTCACAGCAACCACTTACCATCAGGTGGATTGAGCGCTCGTTTGTTATCCTTATCCTATAAAAAAATTGACATCTGAGCACACAGTCTACCTGATGGTAATTAGATACTATGTCCCATAAACATCTCTTACATTGATTAGGAATCAAAAATCATATGTGTTGTCACTTGTCATTTATGAAAAATAAGAAGGAACGCCTCGTTAGTAGCGTCACGCGTCGTGACCAGTATAAATGATCTGTAACACAGCAGTATTGTTACAATTTCACGCTGGTAATGTAAAAGCGTAGTCCTTCGTTCGAGCCGACACATTCGTGCTGCGAACGTATAACAGTGTGTTATGGGTACATGGTAGAGCCATGTACCCTTATAAAATGGAAATAGATACCTACTTATTATATTTATATTAATAACTTTATTTTAATAACAAAATCACCATCATCATTACATTAAAACTACCTATCGACGGATTCAACTCGGCTGCGCAGCCTCCAGGAAATTACGACACATCTTCTCGTCAGGTATACCTCAAAACCTGAAAACGAGATTGTACAACCAGTGCGTGTTGCACTCAGCGAGCTATGGAGAGGGCTATGCTCGGGGTTTATCTGCGTGATAAACTTGAAAAGGAGAATATCCGCAGTAGAACCACAGTGACCGACATAGCCCATCGGATTAGTAAGCTGAAGTGGCAATGGACCGACCATATAGCCCGAAGAGCCGACAACCGATGGGGAAAAAAGGGTCGTACCGGTAGGTGAAGTGTAGATAAAGTGACGACCTGGTAAGACATGCAGGAAGTCGATGGATGCAGGTGGCTCAGGATCGTGGCTTGCAGCATTCCTTGGCGGGGGGGGGGGGGGGCTATGTTCAGCAGTGGACTTGTGAAAGGCTGTAGTGATGATGATGATGATGAACAACCTATCAAAAGTCCACTGCTGAACATAGGCCTCCTCAATAGATTGCCTTATAGAGAAGGTATTTACGTAGTTGCCACGCTCGGCAGGTGTGTTAGCAACCGCAATTTTTATTATTTTGAGTTGGTATCAAGACTCTTACAACCAGTGTTGCCAACTTAACTTTCCCATTTGATTTTACGGGACAGCGAGGTTGGCAACGGGAAAAAATTGTGTTTAACGGCAAATGACGATTTTTTAACGGGACAACAAAAATTTATGTTTTTTTTTAGATTTGTTTTCGAAATAAAAATAATTTGGAAAAGGCAAAAATTAAATTATAATTTTATTCATTTTTTAGTTTAAAAGTACGAAAAAATGTGCAATACAATGAATGATTGACACTTGTCTACCGTGTTTAACGGTATATACAACGAGAGCTAGATTTTAATGTTGGCAACACTGCTTACGACACCCACGGGATGATAAGGCTTAGTGGATTCTCCTACGTCGGCCCTACACGGCGAATACTAGGCAAAGGTAAGTCATGGTAGAGTCACACTGCAGCTACATTATGGTTGTAGCACGAATGGGTCGGCTCGACCGTGACTCGAAGGACCACGCTCTCACAGAATACCACTACCAGCATAAAATAGCAGCTTAATGCTGCTGTGTTTCGTATGTTGAGTGTAGAGAACCGGAGACCCTTTTTACTGGGATCGAGACATTCCATCTTAGTCCACAGGGATTACAACACGTCCGCATTTTGATTTTTAATCGAGATTAAATGTTGATGTCTATGGGCCACAGCATCCACTTACCACTTGTCACCCTTATTCTAATAAAAAAGTAGATTTTTATTAGCTTAGCTAGTGCGTTTCAACGCTCAAGACTGCATTACCGTAATTGGAAAGACTAATTCATTGATGGTAGTCATCAGGACTTTTGACTATCATCAATTTTACTTTTTAAAATTTTTTTATTTTTTTATTTTTTTATTTTTGAAGATTGCTCCATACCTATTCAAATTCCATATTTTCGGCCGTGAGCCTCGTACTTCTAACGCACTGAAGGTTAGTATACCAGAATATAGAACAATTTTTTAAAATTCTTCCTTCACAGTTTAGGCTATACTGCTCTGGAACACATAAACGCTGATGTCAAGGATGCTACGAATAAGCTTTTGTTTAAGAAATTGGTTTAACAGCTTTATTTAGAGGTAAACAACAATTAATTGACTTCCCCGTTTTTTATATTGCTATATATATATATATATGTAAGTGTGTGGTGTGAGTTGACTGGCAGAAAATGCAATAGGGCATTAAGTCGGCCTTTAACTGTAACTCCTAGATGAAGGCGTGTTGCAATAAAAGATAAATAAATTAAAAAAAATAAATATACCTAAATATTTTGACTGTGGTGCACCGGCGGGAAAAAGTAGTTGAGATACAAAATGTATATTTTTATGAAAAAACCTTTACAATAGTTTCATTTACAACTCTTTTGTGAGGTTAAATTACATAACAAACATGTTGTACCAAGTGGAATTCAGATCTTGGCCGCTGCCCTTTGGCTTAATCGGGCGATTGCGATGTTGAATTATATATATTTCGCTATACAATATAATACGAGATTGCATGCACGACTCGATCGGTCGATTAGTTTATTTTTTAAAACCTCTGCACACATAAGTTAATTATCAAGCCGCCGTAGTTTTATCAAAATGGAGTAGTAATAAATTAGTTTCAGTACTTAAAAGTACCATTCAGAACTATTATATCTGAGCTATTCGGTATTTTTACCATCCATCGTGGCGATTACAGAAAGTCCTCCAAAGTACTGAGAGACATACAACAGTAAATGTGATTTTTTTTAGAACAAGAGTGACAAACGAGCACATAGTCCACCTGATGGTAAGTGGATGCTTTGGCCCATAGACTATACAAAATGCAAATCCGTTGCCAGGGGGG